GAGGTCATCGACGAGGAAGGCAATTGCTTTGAGGTCCAGGGATGATGGTGGTAATGATCATGTCGGTGATGACAGTAGTGGGACAAGGTCGGCGATGATGATTGCTGATGCTGTCTGTGATCACAGTGATGACGATGTGATGATGGTGTTTGGGAGGGCGGTGGTGGTGATGATTGTGATGCGGCTCACTAGGCTGCTGTTGCTGGTTGTGATCGGGTGAGACATGATCAATGTATTTAGCTAAGAGCTGACTCTTTTGGATTCGTACGCAGGGCCCCTGAAAGCACACACAGCGAGGCAGTCGCTGCCACGCTGTACCTCGGAAGCGCCCACTAGAGGGTCTCGCAATGGACGCGGCACAGCGCGCCGTTGCTGCCGCTCACACGCAAGCGGCGGGGCCTACCTCTGGAATCTCCCCCGCGGCCTCGGGGCTGCGCGACAGCGCTGCCACATCGCGCCTCCGCGTGAGGCCAGACCCCCGAGGAAGCTCCGGCGCGGCAAGAGGGCACGTCAGATAGGAGCACGATCGAGCTGCCGAGCTCTGTGTGTGCAGCTCGGCGGTGCGACCCTCACGGAGCAGCGCCTTGAGTGGCCAGTCCACCGCAGGGTGCCCATAATGCTAGGGCTTCTTATTATGGTGGGTAGTTGTGCTGCCAGCCCATCCAGTCAAGTAGCTGGGGCAAGTCTGCCCGGCCCCTTGAATTGAGGAAGATGCTCTTTTCCTTCTGGCAGAACGTTGTTGCCTTGTTGGCTAAGCCAGCCACGGGCGATAACCTATTCGTGTTGTCAAGGGCTTCTGCCTTCCCGCGCTCCCAGGCGCGCGTCCCCGTTGGTAGTTGCACTGAGAATCTGGTGGTCTGGCGGCCCAGGGGTGAAAAGCTTTGGGTTTTAGCGTGGGGCCCGAGGAGGAAGGAGGGTTGGGGGGGGGAAGGGGGTGAGGAGATAAATACAGCAGCCGCAGCAGAAGGATATATTCAACACAGTAGCTACAGTCTCCACATGCGCATACGCTACATCTTCTGTTGCTGCTGCATGTGAATGAGTTGCATCATACGCGAGAGCTACATCCCGGCATCTAGAGTGTTCACGTACAGCAGCTCTGGCAGCCACAACAATCTCAGCATCTGCTTTCTCTGCACTGGCCTTAATCAGTTACATCAGCTGTGTCAGCCACAGCAGCTGTGCGGTAGTGGTCGAATGAAAAGGCTCGGAGCGAACAGCCGATCTCCCCCTTGCGTCTCCGAAAAATAGCTTTGCCGCGCCCCAGCGTACGTCGCGCCGCCGCCCAGATTAAACCAAACCACACCCAAAGCCTGCCTTCCAAATCAAATCGGACCGCTCCAGGTGTCAACCAGACCGCCATCAAAAAATACAAGCTCCTTCCAGAAGCAAAACAAGCCGTATCCCAAGATAAGAGCAGTCGTTTCCCAGACCCCGCCCCCAGTAGCAAACCTGACCGCCCATCACGTCAAATTAGGTTTCCCCAAAGTTATCCCGACCCCGCCCAAAACTGAACCAGACCACCGATCAAAACAAGCCAGACCGCCCAAAAGTATCCCAGACCCGTTCCAACAGTAAACCAGACCGCGCGTCAAAGCAAGCCATATTATCCAAAAACAGACCTGGCCACGCCAAACATTAAACCAGACTGCCCGCCACAGCACTCCTGTCCGCGCATCATGCTTGTCTCCTGGAAAGTTCACCCGACCCCGCCTCAACAGTAAACCGGAACACCTGTCCAAGCAAGCCAGACAGCCAAAAAGTACTTCAGACCCGTCCCAAAAGTAAACCAGACGTTGCGTCGAACCATGCCAGATCACCCACAAATCAGACCCGGCCCCGCCCAAAAGTCAGCCAGACCACCCGCCACAGCAGGTCTAACCACGCAGTAGTAGACCAGACCCCGTCCAACAGTAAACCAGACCGCACAAAGCATCAAGCTAGGTTTCCCGAAATTGAACCGGATCCCGCCGCCCAAAAGCACCACTGGCCAAGGCAAGCCGTATCGCCAACAAGTAGACCAGACCCGCCCCTAATCAAGACCACGCGTTGAAGCAAGTCAGATCACCCAGAAATAGATCCGACCCCTCCAAAAAAGTAAATCAGACCACCCGCCACAACAGGCTTGACACAGCAATGGTAGGCCAGGGTCCGCCCAATGGTAAGCCAGACCGCCCATCACATCAAGCTAGGTTTCCCGACAGGTTAACCCGACCCGGCTCAAAAATACGACCGGCTAAAGCAAGCCAGACCGCCCACAAGTGGACCAGACCCGCCTCTAACCAAGGCCACGCGTCGAAGCAAGTCAGATCACCAATGGATAGACCCACCAGGTTGAGGAGGAGGAGGAGGAGGAGGAGGAGAAGGAGCTGTGGAGCTGTGGAGCGCTGGGGTCGCGAGAGGTGTACCTGCAGCCCGGGGAGCTGGCCCTGTACGAGGGCGGCCGCTTTCGGCACGGGCGGCCCATGCGGTTCAGGGGGAACTATTTCGCCAACATCGGGCAGGGCGAAGGGGTCGGCGCGAGGACGGGGGATCAGCCCGGGTGCTGGTGCGAGGCAGATTCGGTCGAAGGGAGGGGGCGGGCACACGGGGATTGGGGAGGGCGATCAATGGAGAGGAAGCATGTTGCCAAACAATTTCCAGACGTCTGGAACATGTGTTAAAACGGTTTTAAACATGTAAAACAACAAAACGTGTGTTAAGCATTTCCAGAACGTTTTTTTCGACATGTTGAACACTTGTTGAACTCGATGCTAGGACTGTCAGGGTGTCCATTGCCGTGGCATCCAAAGTAAGTAAGTAAGTAAGTAAGTAAGTAAGTAAGTAAGTAAGTAAGTAGCAGCCGTGTGCGCACGCACATGAGTAAAAGAGGACACATCAGCGCGTTCGGCTGTGCTGCCGCGCTGCTCCTCTCCAGGTGTCTGCCGGAACGGCAGCAATATCTGGGGAGGTGGGGAAACGGCTACGGACAAGCAGGAACGCGCTCCGAGAGCGGAGGCCCTGCGCAAGTCACACTCCGCGGCCGCGCGGGTTCGCAGTCGGCTGCAGCGCAGGCGGCTCAGGCCCCCTGCGCGCCCTCCCCTCAGCGGAACGATGTCGAAGTGCAGAACACTTCGTCGGCATCAACCACGCGAGGAGGAAGATCACGACAGCCGGGCTCGTCCATGCCGACATGCTCGTCCGCAGACGGCTCAGGGCCCCTGCGCGCCCTCCTCCCCTCAGCGGAACGACGTCGAAGTGCAGAAACTTCGTCTCGGCGGCGAGCGAGGGGGGGAAGTGAGAAGGAGAAGGCCCTCTCAAAAGGCTGGGAAGTCCCCCGGCCTTCCGAGGAGTTTTCTAAGCCATCCCTGAAGACAAACAAAAACTTCTCAGAAGGCGCGAGGGTTTCTGAGAAGCCCCGCCGCCTTCTGAGAAGGCCTTCTCCTTCTCAATTCCCCCCTTTGCTCGCCGCCGATCGTCGGCATCATCCACACGAGGAGGAAGATCACGACGAGCTCATCCACGCCGACGTGCCGAAGAGCCCGACAGCCTCGGGGCCAAGCCCGCTGCCCGCGGCACCGCGCAGGGCCCCCGAGGCATCGGGCCTCGTTTCCCGCCTTCCCGTGGTCCTGGCATCGCTCGGACGTGTGCATTTTTTTTCTCGGCGAGGACCCTGGAGGAGCATCCTGGATCATCGAGCAAACAAAAACACGCACGAAATCGAAAAATGCACAGGGAATGGACGTCCGAGCGATGGCAAGTGGTGAGGCGTGGCTGGAGAGCATCGACCCCCTCGTCCGACTCGAGGTCGGCCGCCACCTCCGCAGCAGGAGCACGCCCGCCATCGTTGCGTGATATCCAGCCCCGCAACAAACCTCTGGGTCGGTTGTGGAGGTCGCCGCGGCCATCGCGGCGGCCACGAGTCGGGGCAAGATCTTTGTCGAGGAGCGGCACGCTCCTTCCCAGACCCCCCCCCCCGCTCTGCGATGTAGACGTGGCTCCTGGTTCACCATCTGGCGACCGAGAGTCGCCCATTGATGCCCAACGTGGGCAGTCGTGTCTTGTTGGCTTAGGGGCCCGCCATCGGGCCATGTGTTCCCTCAATCGTTGTGGAAACCCTTCGGGGAACACTTGGGAGAGGATGGCGGGGAAGATCAGGAGGAGGAGGAGGAGGAGGAGGAGGAGGAGGAGGAGGAGAATAAGGAGGAGAAGGAGGAGGAGGAGGAGGAGATGAGGAGGAGGAGGAGATGCAGGAGGTGCAGGAGGGGGCATCTTGGAGCTGCTCCGAGCTCGAGGTCGGGCCCCGGCTGCCCGACGCCGGGCCAGGGCCGCAGGAGTCGCGGGCAGCAGTATCGTCCTCGTCCTCCTTGTCCTCCTCGTCCTCCTCCTTGTCCTCGTCCTCCTCCTCCTCCTCCTCTTCCTCCTCCTCCTCCTCCTCCTCCTCCTCCTCCTCCTCCTCCTCCTCCTCCTCCTCCTCCTCCTCCTCCTCCTCCTCCCCCTCCTCCTCCTCCTCCTCCTCCGCCTCCTCCGGGCAGATTCTGGCCAGGCGAGACTCGGCCAGGCGAAGCTCGGCCATGCGAACCTCGCAGGGGGCCAGACGAAACTCGGCCACGCTCAACTCGTAGGAGGGCCACGCAGCCGCCGCAAGCAGCATCGCACCGCCGCCAGCTGCCGCCCAATCCTGCGCGGTGAGATTTTAGGTTTCATTTTCAGCGCCCTTCCCAGCAAGCGGCATCGGATTCTCTCGCAGCTCTTTGGCCCGTCGTCTCAGGACCCCGTCCTGGGCGCGCCTGGAGTCCAGGGGCCCGCGCCTCCGCCTTCCGCCAGTGGCGTCAGCGGCGTCGCCGCCGACTCAACCCCTCAATTCCCCTCCCCGGAGCTGTGGAGGTGCTGCTTTTTCCGCGGTTGTTGGGACGTCGAATTCCACGGAGCGGTCAAGTCTCGAGAAGTGGCGTGCGGCCAGGGCCTGGGCGACCAGGATGTCGGCCTTCTCGCCCACGATGCAAGTAATTACTTTGGAAGTGGGTGCATGCAAGCACTTTGGAAGTGGGCGCTGGCCCTGTCCATCTTGGGGGCTGATTTGAGCCTTCAGCCCCATTTGCCGCTTGCTAAAGTTGTGCTGCCATGTCCCGCCGCAGTCACGTCGTCGCCCCCCAGGGCACTCTGGGAACTTGTCTCTCCTCGCAGGATTTTATGCTGCTTGGGTGCATCCGCGGTCTCCGACGCTTTGTCGGGAGGTGGCGTGGGCAACGGGGCGAAGCTCGACGTCTGGCGCGGGGTTATCCGCGACGTTGAGCCAGGCGGGGCCGAAGCCGACCTGCGGGCATAGGCCTCCTCCCAGCTGAAGCGCCGCGCCCAGGCTCGGGAGCCCGCCGATCTGCTTCGAGTCGAACTGGAGCGGCCCGCCGATCTGCTTGGAGCCCAGCGTGACCCGCAAGTCTACCATAAGCGAGGTCTCGGCTGCGATCGGCCAGCCCCTCCGTAGACTCGATCCTGCAGCGTGTCGATGTGCTCGGGCTCGCGGAAACGCCACTGAGCTGCGGTCTCCCACGGGCAGGGCAGCAGCAGCCTCGTCGAAGACGGACCGCCCCGAGCCCCGCGAGCGGCCAGCGGTCTGGAAGCCAGTCTCCTGCAGAGCGCGCGCGCCCCCTCCAGCGCGACGGCGGCGACGGCGTCGCCGAGCGCGGGGGCGCACTGCGAGGTCAGCTTCGCGAAGGCCCAGCCCTCGATCACTCGGTGGCTGTGGAGCCCTGGACAAGGCGTAAGTCGGGTGTGTCCCTCTACAGAAGGAGTCTGCAAAAATAGTCCCAAAATAGTATGGGGACGAATCTTTGAATACGGTTGATCTTTCTGTTGCACATGTGTTGAGTGTCTTTGCTTTTCCGTCCAAGATCCGCCTGCAGGGGAAACGCCCGACCTAACGGCCCTGGTGACATGTTCGCTCGAAGCACATGTTCGGGCGCCTGGTTCCATCAGGTGCGCCTGGTCGAGAGCGTTCCAGGGGTGGAGCCTTGGACAGGGCTTGCGCAGCAGCTGCCCCGGCCACCGGACGCGCCGAACTCGGCTTTGGCCTCGCGGAGGAGAGACCCTTCTCGGGCGTGGGGCCCCCTTGCCCGCACAGAGGCGGTCCAAAGCTCTGGGAAAAGCACAACTTCACAGTGGGGGGCCATGCCAAGAAACACCCTTGTTGCCTCCAGGGTGCCCTGGGTTTCTTGGGTTGCGATGGTTTTGCGATGGAAGGCGTAGCGTTCCCACACCAAAAATCCATGGACGTCCTGGGGTCTCAGGGTTGGGTTTCTTGTGGAAGGTTTCTTGTGGTCGGGCCCCAACTGCACCTCGAATCTTTTGCCAGGCTAACAGCCAGGCCTTCTTAGAAAGCGAGTTTGCTCGAGGAGTTTGCGCCCCCCCCGCCCAGCCTATCCCTGGGAGGAGGAGGAGGGGGAGGAGGAGGAGGAGGGGGGGGAGGAGGAGGAGGAGGAGGAGGAGGAGGAGGAGGAGGAGGAGGAGGAGGAGGGGGAGGAGGAGGAGGAGGAGGAGGAGGAGGAGGAGGAGGAGAAGGAGGAGGAGCAGGACGAGGAGGAGGAGGAGTCTCGTCTCGAACCCATTCTAGCAACGATCCTTGCCTGGTCGTATCTGCTCTGGGTGGGGGGCGTGTCATAGCTCGCCCCCTCTCTCGCATTGCGTCACTCTGGGGCCTGCCGTGCCGAAATCAAGCTGGCACGGGCGGATGCGCCCCGGTTGGCGCCCGCACGGGGGACACCGTGGTGAGGCGCTCGCGAAAACGGGAAAAGACGTCGAGATCGCCCTGTCGCGATGCATCGGGGTGCCATGGCGGGTGCAGCTTTCGCTCGCATTTGCAGACCGAATTTCGTGACATTGTCATGGCTCGTGCATGTCACGGGCGGCCTCTTCGTCAGCTGCGAAGGGGTCGGGTTCCTGAGCGGAGGGGTCGGGGCGACGCGCCGAGGTCGAGGCAGACCCGAAGAGGCGACGAGGGGGAACAGGATACGGGTCCCTAGGAAGCGCGACGGTAGACTGGTGCTCTAGTCCAGGCGGCGGTCTCACTCTGTGATACGACGCTACCACGAGGCTCACTTGGGCCTGCCCTTGCTCTTGCCCTTGCCGCCTCCGCCGATCTTCCTGGCCAGGTTGCCCCTCGGAGCCTCGTTGACGAGGTGGCGCCCGCCTGCCGCGCGAAGCTGCTCGGCGATGAGCAGGTTGATGTCCATCAGGTACCCTGGCATGTTGAGGATGGTGGTCGGCGTCTCGGTCGGACTCACCTGCTTGATCGCGTCGTCGCCGCCTCCCTCGATGGCGGCCATCAGCTTCTCGTGGTCGGACACCTGTGTCGTCATCAGGATCTGGCCTTTGAGGTTGAAAGTAAGGCGTGACTTCTGAGCTTTGCCTGGCTGGTCGAATGTTGGGCTCGCCACCATCTCTGTGATCCACGTCTCGGCGATGGTCGGTCCGCCGTGCTCGATCATCTTCATCAGGCGGCGGATGCACATCGCGCAGGCGGCC